CATATTAAGACTTTGACAGCTAGACTAGATGGAATATATAGACATAGGAATCGGGTTTGGATTCCTAGTTTGGGAGACCTAAGAAACGTAGTGATGGATGAAGCACATAAGTCCAAATACAGTATGTATCTAGGTAATACATAAGATGTACAAGAATATGAAAGAAAGCTATTGGTGGTCTGGTATGAAAAAGTCAGTAGCTAACTATGTGGGGAAATATATGATATGCTTGAAAGTAAAGACATGTCATCAAAAGCCGTCTAGAATGTTGCAACAAATGGAGATCTCGGTATGAAATAGTGGGATATGATAATGATGGATTTCGTCATTAAACTTCCAAGGACGATAAAGGGACACGATGCCATATGGGTAATTGTGGACCAACTAACAAAGTCTGCTCACTTCTTACCGATCAGCGACAAGTATATATTAGAAAGATTGGCCCAAGTTTACATCAATAAAACTGTGTTGAGACATGGTCTGCCGATATCCATTGTCTCAGATAGAGATGCGAGGTTTACTTTAGATTTTGTTCAAGCTTTCAACAAGAAATGGGAACACGGTTGAACATGAGTACTGCATATCATCTTCAAACTGATAGCCAGAGTGAGAGAACGATACTAATACTAAAGGATATGTTGAGATCTTGTGTGATTGACTTTGGAGGTAGTTGGGACAACCCCCCCCCCCCCCCCCGGTTGATAGAGTTTGCCTATAACAAAATTTACCACTCGAGCATCATGGCGGCCCCATTCGAGACGTTGTATGGCCACAAGTGTAGAACCCTAATTTGTTGGGCAGACATTGGAGAAAGACAACTAGTTGGACCTTAGTTAGTCCAACAAACGTCTAATAAAATAGTACAAATCAGGGAGAGGTTAAAGGTTGCGCAAGATAGATAAAAGAGTTATGCAGATAAGGTTATTGTTTATTTCTTGGAAATTCTCTTATTTCTTGGAAGAGTAAGAAACAGAATATTGTTTCACGCTCTTCTGCTGAATCAGAATACAGAGCCATGGCATCTGTATCTTGTGAAATTGTCTGGGTTCTAAAAATCTTGACTGATTTAAATGTTAACAACCTTCCTGTAAATCTGTTTTGTGATAACAAATCCGCTATTCAAATCGCCAATAATCCTGTTTTTCATGAAAGAACTAAGCACATTGAAATAGATATTCATTACATTCGTAAAAAAATTAGTAGAAGCGTTTTGAAAGTCATTAAAATTCACTCATCTAAACAAACTGCAGATATTTTAACTAAGGCGCTTAGTGTAAATCTTCATAATTACATGTGTTCAAAGTTAAAAATGATAGACTTGTTTAAAAGTCAAGATTGAGGGCGGGTGTTAAAAGTCATTCACATTCCAATCTTGACTTATTATCATGTTAACTAATTTAGCTTTGAAATCCTTGTTTGTTAATCTTTGACAGATAAGGGTAGAGCATATAAGTTGCTGAAAAGATTGTTGCTGAAAAGATTGTTGCTGATAATACAATACATGGACTGCGCCTCACTGTTTCATATTAACCAAGGGTAGCGGAGCACTAAAGGAGTATCTTCAAGGGCCTTTCTTATCAAATCTGAAATATATATAAAGAGGCATTTGACCGACTCAGCTCAAAACACAAATCAAAATTTTCTCTAAATCTCTCTCACCTACTCAAGGAACTCTCTCGATTTCATTCTTGGTTTTCATAAAAGATCAGCCTTCCATCTTAATAAATCTACACATTGAGTTAGTATTTCTTGTTCTTTTATTCTTAGATCTAATGGTGTTAGATATTTAGATGATATATTTGTAATCAATATGTTTCTGTTTCAATTGTTGTAAAGAATCTATATTGTTTTTAATATTCAAATGTTGAAGTTTTGGAAAATAACACAAATGCGCAAAACTATCTTAAAATTCAACAAACATTATACAACACAAATAACACCTCTGTTTAGAAAAATACCTACTTAGTGATTCCAAACTCATAATTCATCATTTCCTTATCTTAAAGATATAATTTCAGCAGATTCTTAATGCTACTAGAACTACACATTTGTTGGAAAGAGAAATACCACGAAATATACATTCATTTATAATACATATATACCTTCCACTCATTCTAAACCTCCAAACAAAAAGCAAGAGATTGGAAATCGTAACAACTTGAAGTGAAACAATGTCAATAAAACCTAACTTAATAAAGAAAACATATATCCATCGATTACCGCTACATTTGATATCAGTTATAACACATACGAGGTAGGAATGTACTTCCAAGTATAAACAATTCAATGTCTTTGCTCTCCTCTTTAAGAGTTATCTTATATGTCCGTTAAGCTACAACCAACATGAAAAAACCGTTAAGTTCAATTCAAGACTACCCAAATCTACCAGAGAAATCCAGATGGAGGTTGTTCTTGAAGTTGGGTTGGGGGAAGAGGAGGAGAAAAATCAGTGTTTTTTTTTTTTTTGGAGAGAAATAAGGATGGTTTTGGGAGGAATGTGGAGGGGAGTGGACTTTGGCGGTTTAGTTACCATTAATTTTCATAAACTAAGGGGGCATTTACCAAATACTTACTCGGGTAAGCGCTTATCAAGTCGCATTCCCTTACCGGATGAATATGACAAGGACCAAAAATCTTACCTAGTAAGAGCGAAGTCACGAACCGAGAGTCTTACCTAGTAAGTGATGGCGACGACTCTTACCACGGTTAGCACTTACCGGATAAATTATTACATACGATGTCGTTTGGTAGACTAAAATCTTACCCGATAAGTAAAAGATAGAGCTGAAATTTACCGTTAAGCGCTTACCAGATAAGTGTTTAGGTAAACGGCCCCTAAGTTTGGCTTTTGAAGTTGTACATTGAGCATGGGAGGATCTACCTTTTAAATTTCAACAAATAACTATTATTCATCTTTATATATAGCATAGATAAAAGTGTAAAATTTAAACTGAATACGTTAATGATATAAATAAAATTAATTTGTTGGTACTCATGATATTTAATAGTATGATTAATTCCAAAAATATTCAATATTGTATTCATTTTAAAGGTATTAACGAAACCATTATAATAGTATAATTTGTAAAAAAAATGTATTTTTTCTAATACATTTTGCTTCATATACGATTTTTATGTTAACATGGTAAGAATGTAAAATAAAAAACGAAAAAGTAAAGGATATAAAGTAAATCGAAAACTAATTACAAGGTCATAAAGTGTAATTTTAAAAATTAAAACATTTTATTTTCAACATGACTTTTTTAGTATAGATAATTATAATTAAATCCATGGTATAAAACCATTTTTTCATTAATAGGCTAGTAGGTCTTAATTTAATTAAAAATTCATTTAATCACATTTCCCTAACTAATCTTAATAAACTTAAAATGAGGTTATTTAATTAAATTAAGGGGAATGCTAATGGTATCTCTTAATAGGGATGTTAAATGTTTTGGAATTGTGTCGTCTTTAAAATCTATAAAACATCAAATCGATTTAATAATATAATATATTCAATTATTATTATTATTATTTAATATACATATATATTAATTAAGTTATATTATATAATTATATATATACTCTCCACGTATATTTTACATATACTATATAATATTTTTTATTTACATTATTATTATATAATATTATATATATATATATATATATATTTACTATTATATTACATATATATATATATATATCAGTATTATTGTAATTATTTTAGAAAACTTAAAATAGTTTAATCCAAAAGCTGATTTTTATGATTAGTTAGTTGTTTTAATTGATAAGATATTTATAGAAACTATTTGTATTAAATTTAAATAAGGAAAAAGTTCAGAAAATTAAGGAAATTGTTCCATTTTGAATTATTATGTTTTTAAAGTTTTTTTTGATTGAATAAGTTATTAAACTCTTTTTATGTTGAATGATTAAGTCGTTGCATTTTTTTAATAATTAAATAATTGAGCTTTTTAGAAAATTGGTTATTTAAATTATTTTAACATTTTTAAAATTATATAATTTAAAAGTTATTTTTATAAAATAACTTGAAAATGTAATCAATTTTACAGAAAATAGTATTTCAAATTTCTGGGTTATTTTAATATTTTAAAATTGATGTACTTAAAAGATTGTGAAAAAAATAAAATAAAAGAGTTAATATCGTGCAACTCACTGAGTCAAAATTATTTACAAAAAAAATCATTCTTACATATATTTTTTAATAAATAAATCATTGAACTTTTAAAAATTAGTTACTTAGATCATTTCAACCGAAAAATACTACATATCATAGTTTGCTTGCCTTACAGATCAAAAAAGTGGAAAAACGATTTTTAAGTTACGGTTTCCCATTTTTAATCTATCCAAATAGTTGTTAAATAAATCTTTTTATAATATATAAAAATTTGATAATATTATTATATTGAATTTATATGTAGTTTGATAATATAAAAAATGTTATTGTTTTAATAAATAATTATTAAAAGATTATGTTTTTAAGGATTGCTTTTAAAAAAATATATATATTTTTCTTAAAAATAATTATTAAAAAAAATAACGCCTTTTAAAAAAATATTTAAAAAGAAAATAAAACATATAATATTTTTTTATAGAAATTATCATAAAAATAATAATTTTTTACTCTAATTGTAATATATGTATAATTAAATAAAATAAGTAAAAGAAAATTAGTATAAAAAAGAAAAAGATGACAAAAACACAAAAAGAAAATGATTATACAAGGAATAGGGGTGCCATTAACAAGAGGCATGGATGTCATTAGACTCCCCTAAATAACATATTAAAATAAAAATGGTTTTATAGTGATAATAGATCTAAATGAAACTATCACATATCTCATAATTCCCAACACTTACCCAATGAAGAAGAAGTTTCAATAACGCATAAACAAAATTCCAAAAGCATATCATAAAAACTGAAGTTCTGTGAGTTGGAAAAATAAGCTTCTGAGAATAGAAATACATCTGTTTATGTTTTCAAGACGACAATAAACGCTTGATGCCGGTTTTCTGGTCTGAGGTAAGTCTTGTAGGGAACTTGATGTTGAACTTCACCCTTAGGTTCCCTTTTCTTGTTGGATCTCTTGGTATAGGCATTCCTTCTCCTTTCAACACTTCTTCATAAGTTGGGCTGATTATAGAGTTGATGGGAATAGTTAAGCTTCGTCCATCCAGCGTTGACACTTGGACGCTGTAACCGCTGGCAGTTAGAGCGTCAACTAGGGATATCTTTTGGGTGAAAACAAGATCGTTACCCTCTCTTTTGAACGCAGGATGTGGTTTCTCGTCAATTATGAACACAAGATCTGCGGGAATGATGCTTTGGTGTTCGTTTCCTTTCTCTGGGAACGTTATTTTTGTTCCCTTTTTCCACCCCGGTTTGATATTTATGGTAAGAATCTCTTCAACTGTCGTCAATTTCCTGCTCAACAAAAATGAATGAATCAGATCTTATTGGTTTAATACATGTACCACCATGCATAGAACCTGAAACTAATTTCTAAAGCTTTCAAATAGAGATCATCATATGAAAATCTAAAGAAAACAAAAGTAAATTCCAATTACAATCTTTAAAATCGAAACGGGATTCTTAACATCTTCAGGAATTGTCAACAAGTTCCCTGCATTTCCCCTAGTTCTGCTCTACAACTGTCTACTCCAGAGATAAGCATGCATCATGAATACAGATAGATAAGCTATGAGGTCTTCTAAAATGATTTGGTTCAATAATTCTTTCAGGACCTTCTATATATGATAGAATGAATATGAGCAAATGTAAGTTTTCCTTAGACAAGAGACCTTTCAGATCCTTGGCAAGATAAAATCCTGGCATTAATGCAGCGAAAACTCTGCTAATTATATATATACATATATATAGGGTCGGGAAAATCGCAACAAAATGACACTGATGAACACCCTAATAATCATGCATTTGTACGGTATGCAAGTAATTTGTCCATTATGCATATGTGCATAACATGCACACGTGCATAGAAACCAGAAAACGTCTTCAATTCTGTATATGCACACGTAAATATATCATACAGATGAATGAATAGTTATTAGAGTGTTTTTCAATGATTCATGTTTTGGGGGTTTTCCCCTACACCTTACTCTATATATGTATATACCAACTGCATAATAGAAAAATAACAGTTTCTACCATTCTATGCGACCCTCATTCTGTCATGTCTTCATATGTCTAGCAGTTGCTTTAAGGGTTGAAAACAACCATACTAACAAAACTAGTGTTTGAGCCAGAGATGATAATAGGAACGTCTGCAAATTCAACGATAATGACAGCGTCCAAAGAAGATTATCAATTCCCTTTCTCAAGAAGAATAAGTTATGATCACGTCAAAGTAGTCGACATATTAAGTAAATTATTACAACTACTACCAAAAAGGCAAAAACTACACCTAATTGTATACAAGCCGAAAACGAAACAGATAAAGGAAAGCAATTATCTCATAATCCAGACATTCAATATAGAAAGTAAACACAGTTAAGCTTTAGGTATGATCCTTCCTTTTACTTGTGTTTACTGCATCCATATTAGCCTTTCTTTATATCTCACAAGCATAACAGTTAACACATAACATGTGTTTCAGCCTTAATTTGTACTTTATAATGTTTTAGCATTCATCTCTCCACTTGTTTAGTAGACCAACAAATTGCGGCTTTCGTATCCCCCCCCCCCCGGGGATATTCATGGTTAATGATTCAAGAATACAGTCAATGATGCACCCAACAATCGTTTCATATCCTCAAAGCATCCGATATGGGAATTCAAGATATAATCTTTCCGTGGTAATTTTACAACAATCGCCCCTGTGACTGTTGTAAATTACTGGTTTTGAAGTTAATTCTTGCAAACATAAATAGTAAAGAAATCTTGAATGTGCACAAACAAGTCACAACACAAGGAAGGGTGGAGAAATTTCAAAGAACCCATTTGTGTAAGTAATGAATCCTACTGAAAACTTGATGCAATAAAGAAAGAAGCCATTAATTTCAATTTAACAATGAACTTGATTGAAGATTCTGGAAAGCAAATGAAAGATGAAAATGAGAGCTCACCCATTTGCATCAGTAACATCCCTTGAAATCTTCATCTTCCTTGTGGTTCCTTTATACAAATCCTCCAAGCTACATGATAATATGCGTTCAATTGAAGGTGCTTTCCTAGGTGGCAAAGTACCACCAATGGCTCTCAACTCAGATAATACATCCTCATTGAGCGTACTCTGTGAAAATGGGTTAGAATGCCCAAAAAACTCTCTAAATATGTCATTTGCATTGCGAGAATTAAACCTAAATGTTGTAGAGCCACCTTCGCCGGAAAACCCACCATAACTACCTGGTGGCGGCACCTGCCCCTTCAAACCCTCCTCGCCATACTGATCATAAATGGCTCGCTTCTGTGGATCACTCAAAACCTACACACACACACACACACACATATGTATATATATATAACCCAAATCCACAACAAGTAAACAATCGCTTTCAAAAAGGTTTATGAAAAATGGGAAAAGTTTAGGTTTAGATTCATCCATTGATCGCTGTGAATATACATATATACCCAATCGACATTGAAATAATCAACTTTGAAGAGATTGTGAATTCGACATAGCATCGTTCCGAAAACCACGTACATGAATGAAATCCAACTTTTAAAAATTCTGATAATGTAGGTGTATTCATGGATTGGATTTATATACACTGATCGCTATGAATATATACCATCCAATTTCAATTCATTAAAATGTATAAAATCTTGGTATTGAAACACACATTTTGACCGACAGATTTGATATACATACATCGTAGGCTTCAGAGATCGTTTTAAATTTGGCTTCTGCTTCTTTCTTGTTGTGAGGATTCTTATCAGGGTGCCATTTCATAGCCAGTTTCCGGTAGGCTCTTTTCAAGTCATCGTCTTTTGCGTTGCGGTCTACCTGGAGAACCTTGTAGTAATCCACACCCATGGCTATGGCTGCCAACTCTATCTCCCCCTTTCTCTCTGTGTATGTTTGATAGTAAACTTGTTGGTGAGAGTAAAATTGCAGAGGGGAGGGGTGGTGTTTGTTGGGGTTCAATCCCTCTCTCCTACTTGGCAACGGAGGATGAATGTTATATTTTTAAAAATAAATTAAAATACTCGCATTTAATTTCTAACACTTTGTTTATTTTAAATTATACTTTTTTATAATTTATTTAAATATTAAATTCTTTTTTTATAATCTATTTATTTAAATAAAATTCTCTAAAGAAGAGTTGCAGTCAACCTCAACAAATTTATAATATTTTTTGTATAAAATAATAATAAATTCATTTGAGAGGGTGTTTGAAATTGCTTTTGAAACATCTTATGATTTTTTACAAAAAATTTTATCAATTTATTATAAGTTAGAAAGTTTAACTTCTTCAAAAACTCCTTATTATTGGTTTGATACTAGTATAAATTGTTGATCCAAACACTCAAAAGTGTTTATTACCGATATCATATCGAAATAAGTCAATAAGTTATTTTTATAAGCAATCTCAAACATCTCTTTAAGCTATTTTTTTCTCCTTTAATTTAGGTAATTTGAAGCTTTTCATCTTTTTCAGACCATTTTAATAAATAAAAAATTATAGAATTAAAGAATTTCAATTTCTTCATTGAATGTATTATTAAAATACTTACCATAATTTATAAATTATTTTTTAAATATATAATTTTGAAATTCTTAAAAGAATCTTTTTTAAAGTAAAATATCTAAAATTACGAATTTGTCCAAGATATTGTTAGAAAATATGTTAGAGAAAAAAAATTTAAAATCTTTAAAATCTTCAATTGTTTTATTATAAAAAATCTATTGGTGTTATTTTAACAACTATTTCATTATTAAAATACGTTTAGAGGTCGTTTACCAAACACTTATCCGATAAGTGCTTATTGGTAAATCTAACACTACTATTTATTTACCGGGTAAGATTTTAGTCCACTAGAACGACATCATATGCAACAATTTACCCGTTAAGCACCGGGTAAAACTCATGATCTTTGTCTCGTTCTTATCAGATAAGATTCTTGATATTTACCATATTCATCCAGTGAGGTAATGTCACTTGATAAATGCTTACCCAGGTAAGCATTTGGTAAATGGTCCCCTTAATATCTTAACAAATTTTAAAATGATTTTTCCTAAAAAATATTAATTTTATAGTTTCTCTTTCTTCTGTTCCATTAAAAATAAATAAAAATTTTAATTTTGGAAATATTTTTCTTTCCTTTAAAATGTAATTAAAATATATTCTCTCTCTCTCTTAAAATTGATTTTGATACGAAGGGTGTAATTAAATATGGTCTCTTCTTTAAAATTTAATGTTGGGAAAATAAAATTCTTTCGAAAATTCTTCTCTAATCCTTTTATCATTTTAGAGAATATTTTGAAGACTCTTTTGAAGAAAAAAACCCTTAAAATCTTTGTTTTTTTCTTTTTTAAGGATTTTGATCAAACTAAAGGGTCGTTTACCAAACACTTACCCGGTAAGCGTTTACCGGTAAAATTTAACACTACCACTTGTTTACCAGGTAAGACTTTAATCCACTAAAACGGCATCGTATGCAACAATTTATAAACGCTTACCATAGTAAGAGTCGTCGCTCTCACTTACCGGGTAAGATTCTCGGTCCTTGTCTCTCTCTTACCGGGTAAGATTTTTAGTCTTTACCATATTTATCCGGTAAAATAATGTGACTTGAAAAGTCTTACCCGAGTGAACGTTTGGTAAACGATACCTAAATGAATCCAATATCTCTTATTTGGGTGTGGGTTTGAGGGGTGTATCCTCTTTACCTTACATTTATCATGAGAATAGAAGATTGTTCGATAAAAGTTGTATAATATTTATATAAACTTAGAAAAATAGAGAGAGAGAGAGAGATATCTTCTAAGGTAAAATAATTTAACAAGACATATTGAAAAACAATACTCAATTCTATTATTCCAATATCAAAATAGTACTCGCGTAATTTAGTGAGATATATCTCGATTTTAATATTTTATTTTATTATTTGTCTTTGTCGATGTTATAATACGATTTTATATGTTTTTAATAAAGCAATAATGGTTTTATTTTTAAATAAACTATAAATTTGAAAAAAAAGTACATCAATATTAATATCAAATCAACTATTTAAAAGTTCTTATTTTTTCTGTAATTTCTTTCATTTTTTATTATTATAATGTAATTCAAGTTTAATAACGAAATAATTTATTTTTGGGTTAATAATATAACATTTTATAAAGATAATAATTAAATATTTTGTTAGAACTCAATGATTATCCTAATTATATTTTGGATTTTTTATATTTAAAATGAGATGTTTATTCTCTATTATTATGTTTATCTGCAGTTAGTCACACGAATTCAGATATGGAGCTTTAATAAGTTGTACTTACGCACAATTTACTTACAATCTTGAGTTTTAAGTAATATGCATTAATAAACAGTACTTTACGCATAAAAAATGGTTTTTAATAGTTTTTGTCAAATTTCTTATAATATAGTATAGATAAGAGGCACAATTAGGAAAAAAAAAATTAAAAAACCATTTGAAGCTTATAAAAAAGGGGAAATCACTAAAATAGCCAAAATGTACGTATTGTATTAACAAAATAGCTACTTTTCAGAATTTTTCCACAAAATAGCCACTAGAATCATCCCCCGAGGGCGTGTTGACCATACGGTAGCGTTTTGACCAAAAAGTATACAAATGGGGCCACATGTATCTGATTTGGGAGAAAAGAATCTGATTTTTATCTTAAAAAGGGGGGATCGCCCCCACCTACCCCAGGATCGCCCCGGGGCAATCTGACCCCTATTTTGTCCTCTAGTAAGGACATCATATGATGCACGTTTTGACAATTTAGGGGTGTTTTCTGAGGCACGGGGGGAAATTTTTATGTACGGGGTGATCCTGGTCTTTTATAAGGGTTGTAGTTTTCTCACCGGCATACGGTGGTAGGTGGTGGAGGTGGACAGTGGTAGGTAGCGGCAAACGGTGGTGGACACCAAAGGTGGACGGTGGTACATGTCGGTATATGGTGGTGGATGTTGATGGACGATGATCGGTGGTCGTTGGTCAGTGGACGATGGTCGGTGATCAGTGATCGACGGTGATCAATGGTCGATGATCAATGGTCGAGGGGGATCAGAATGCCGGAGAAGGTGTGTTTCTATATGCTCGGTGGTGGATGTCAGTGGGTGGGGATGGTGATAATGGTCCCCTCCGACCGCCTATTTATATAAACCGTCACGTAATAAGACAAAATAGATAATCAAATATGAAAAAAAAAAATATGGTCAAAGTATGTGGTTATAAATATATGGCATTTTTCAAAAAAATATCTAATTTTTGTCCCCAAAATCAGATACAAATAATTTTTTTTGTATCAACAATTATAAAAAATATTAACATTCGGTGGTTATGAAAAATATAGTTTTTATAAGAAAATATAAAAACATTTGTTGGTTCATTTATGCGTTTAAGAAAAAGTAGTAAAATTTATAAAGGTTGACGTGATTTCATATTGTGTTAAGTTGTGTTTAAGGGTTACGGGTTGTGAGAGTAGAAGTGTTTGATTTACAGAGAAAAACCACAACATTTATACATATATATATATATATACAAATATATATATATATATTACATTTGGTCCCAAAACAGACAAAATATCAGTCAAAATCATCCCTCATTTATTGAAAAACACCTCTTAATTATCAATTGATGTCCTCATTAGAGGACAAAATAGTAGTCAAAGTAGAGGTAGGATCGCCCCTGGGATGATCCAGGGTTAGGTGGGGCGATCCCCATTTTCAGACAAAAATTGGATTTTTTATCCCTCAAATCAGATACATGTGGTGCCTCCTTGTGTACTTTTTGGTCAAATTGCCCTCGCATGGTCAACACGCCCCTCGAGGGCGTTCCTAGTGGCTATTTTGTGGAAAAGCCTGAAAAGTGGCTTTTTGTTATATAAATTTAAGTCCTATAAAATATCATATTAGGACTTTTAGACATTTTAAACGTCCTATACGCCTAATATTGTTGTAGTGAAATGTTGTAACTCTTATTATTTCTTTGTACCAAAGTAAAACATCAAATACGAGAGTTTGTAGATTGATAGATTAGTCAACCAAGTTTCTATCAATATAATTCATATTCTCTGATACATCCATTTGTTGTTGCTATAAAAACAACTCCAATATTTTTTTTCTATTAGATTCTTTGTCATCATTTTTTGATCATGAATTTCTTTTAGTGACCTATATATATATATATATATATATATATATATATATATATATATATATAGACCTATAGGTGGAGGTTCAAACGAGAACCCTTGTGATTTACAAGAACGCGAGAATAACCTAATAATCTCAAACTATTTTAATTAATAACTTAACTTATATTAAATATAAATAAATTAATAAGGGCAGTAATATAATTAAATATTTTTTATAATTTTTATTTTATTTTAATTAGTCATAATTATCCCTTTTTTTCCTGCACGTTCGTTTCCACTCTCTTCTCTCCCCTTGTGATAATTGTGTGATTGTGTAACTATAACCTATCGAAACCATGATCAATCAAGTGTAACCATAACCTATCGAAACCATGAGTAATCGTTGTGATAAATGCGTGATTGTCTAACCCTAACCAATTGAAACCATGATCAAATTGAGTGCGCAAGTGATTTTATAATAGTGATATCACATGATTATCACACTCATATCAACCAAATCGTTTAGTGGATTTCACCCGTAATTATTGTGATAAATGTGTGATTGTCTAATCATAACCTATCGAAACCATGAGTAATCGTTGTGATAAATGTGTAATTGTCTAACCCTAACCGATTGAAACCATGATCAAATCGAGTGCGCTGTTATGATAGTGATATCACATGATTATCACACACATATCACACGAAATCAGTAGTCGATTTTCTAAGTTAACCCTAGCCGAGCGGAATCCTTGTGATAATTGTGTGATAATCACATGATTATCACACCAAATCGTGTTGATATAAGCGATAATATGATAATTGTGTGATAATCACATGATTATCACATCCATATCACACCAAATCGTGTTGATATAAGTGATAATGTGATAATTGTTTGATAATCACATGATTATCACACATATATCACATGATTATCACACCCATATCACACCCAAATCGTGTTGATATAAGYGATAATGTGATAATTGTGTGATAATCACATGATTATCACACTCATATCACATGATAATCACATGATTAACCGTTATTAGATAATGATAATCATAATCGTGTAATCATGTTAAAAGATTTTATGATATCATTTCCATTATTACCCTTTTAATTTTAATATTTTTTGAATTTTTTTAAATTTCAATTTTAATTTTAAAATTATTTTTTTTTATTTTTTTTTATTTTTTTATCACAATATGAGATTATTGAGTTGTTCTCGCGCTCTCATTTGAACTCTTCCCTAGACCTATATATATATATATATATATATATATATATATATATATAGAGAGAGAGAGAGAGAGAGAGAGAAGCGATCAAATACAAACCGCTTATATTTGTATAAATCATGCAAATCACTCTCATCCGTCGATTTCATTGTTTAATCTTATGAAAAATTTCATGAAATTATTTTATCTTATGAAATTATTTTATATAACATTTCTTTTTGATGAAGTTGTTTCATATATGGTAATGAAATTGTTTCATACAATACTTATAAAATTTTAATGAAACTGTTTCAACGTATTTCTCTAAATTAATATAATGAAGATAACAATATTCATGATTAATATTTTTCACAATAAAAATGATTAATCAACCTCTTATAATTACAAAAAATTAAACAAAATAAAAAATTATGATTGATTGAATAAGATTTCTATAAATATATCCTTATCCAAAGTAGTTTAAAAAAGAGTTAGGAGGTGTTTGAGAATGCTTATTTGAAACAACTTAGACTTTTCTACAAAATCACTTATCAACTTATTATAAGTTAGAAGGGTTTAATTTCTTTAAAAACTTCTTATTACCGGTTTGGTATCGGTATAAGTTGTTTATCTAAACTCTAAAAAATATTTATTACTGGTGCCATACTGAAATAAATTAATAAGTTATTTTTATAAGCAATCCTAGATACCCAGTTAGAATATGGTTATGACTTGTATGATTGTTTTAATAAGTTTAAAATAAAAAAACGTAATTCGTAAATTAATTGGTGGCTGAAAACACATGGTAAGTTTTAAAAGGTGATGGTTTGGACTTTGGAGGTGATGAAATCAATCCCTAATTCACTCTTTTTCTTATTTGATTGATGCTATTTTTAAAAGGTGATGGTTTGGAGGTGTTTTTGAATGAATAGAAGGCTCGAAAGCCTTGTAACCGTCATTTTCACCCACCATTAGCAGCCACTTGTACTGGTTTCTGATGCATGAGATTCTTCCAATCCCATTCATGGGGTTTTTCACCTTGCCCCATTTTCATCATCAATCCAGGTTATAAATTAAATCACTCATCCTGGGTTTATCATCTGTCGATCGAATTCTGAAATTTAATTTTCTCTTGTTTCCTTCCTGTCTTCAATTAGAATGGAAGACTCCAATCAGACACCGCTGCTCCATCAATCACTCAATGCAGCTGCTACCCATGGAGTCCAGCCCACCGGACTGCCTTCGACGGTGGCTGAGTACGGCGGGATTGATGGAATTCCAGCTAAACCTACTATTTACGATTGTTATGTTGATGTTCCGGCATCATTCTATCCTAGTGCCGGAAATGATTCAGTTGAGGAACCAAACATACATCACTTGGTCAACCAATATTGTGATGATAGTGTTATCGATGATGATCTTACTGTCGTGGATGATGAAACTGTTGTCGACGATGATCTGGCTGCCGCGGATGATGATTTGAATCAAATTTTTGGAGAACAATCAACTTGGCCTCCGTTGCTATCACATCCTGACAGGAGTCGGTTGTACAATCTGCCTCCTCGACCGCGGAACCCTAACGAGCTGTGTCTGTGGAACGGGGTGCAAATCATCACCTGTATCATACTTCTTGCCATATTATGGTTGATCGGTAAAAACTTAATCTGTTCTTGATGATTTTAATATGCCTACATCAATTCGTACATCTTTGTTTCATTTTTGTATCTGCAAGTAAGCATTGGGTATGATTGTTTTTCTTAATTAGTCCATGTTGGCATCCAGCATTATCCTTCTCAAGGGTTTCAATTCTATTGCATTCGGTCAGTAGGAATCTTGATTTCTATGTATGTTTCTGAATATATGATAGATGGATTTGGACATTAATTTTTCCTAAGAATGTTTCAAATTACCTAAAGATTGGCAAAATGCCATCGGATACCTTTTCTAGCAATGAACCATAGTAGGCCTTGTTGAAAAGTTAACCTTTCAGGTTCGAAAGGTTTTATCTGACATTTTAACTTAATAAACCAGATGGTGGGTGGCTATAGAAGCTAGATCATTCCTTTTATTCTTAAGTTGACATCCCTTATGTTATTATTTGTTACACTACAGTATGCTTGAACATGGTCTATGGAGTTCAAGAAATTGGAACCTTGCGAATTGGCACAGGTTGTTCTCTTCTATTGAAACCAAATCGGTTCTTTGTGAAGACCATAACAGTAAGATCTCAGTGTTATCTTTTTTTCCTGAGATATGTTTGCTTTGACTTTGAGTTGTATTTTATAAATTGGCTTGTTGTTACTGTATTTCTAGGTTGAGCAACTATCTGCTAACAACGTGGGAGCGATACTCTATGGGTTTAATAATCAGCCACCTCTTAATGTTGTAAATAGTTGGTCGGATGCACGTAATGCATCTCTTCAAGCTAACATCCACAAGGCAAGTTATTGTAATTCTTTTTGTTATTTTTCATTATAGACCAAAGACTGATTAATAGTTCTTCATGCTGCAGGAGTGGGTGTATTTCTTGAATGAGGGATCCCAGATTAATGTTTCTTATAGTGTCCCTAGCTCTTTAAGATTGTTTCTTACTATCGATCGAGGTACTTTAAATAGTTTCACTTTTTATTTAGGGTCATTAATTCTTGATAAAAGTCTTCTATGTGCAACTTGGAGCGATCAATTCGAATCACAGATTAATCCCTTCAGATTAAGGTGTTCTACATCCATATACTTAAAAACTGAAAGCATAATGTGATAACAAGAACGAAATGAGATAAATTATCGAGGACGAATAAAAAAAGTCCAGAATTTCCTATGCATGGACTTGTGCTATACATTGAGGTGGATGCTCCATTTTCATATGAATCAGAAGAGAAATTTGTATTGTAGGTTCTTCCAATTCATTTTGATCCTTACTCCAAGTGACTGATTAACGGTGTGGTAAAAGTTTTTATTTGTTTGTCATAGATCACTCATCCAATTAGAGATTAAACACATATCGTAAATGAAATTGTGCAATATGGAGAGATGACGGAAATGTAGAGTTATGCCTTTCATCTATTTTGTTATCATGTTTACACTTGAAGCAAATGAGGCATGAGCTATTCCTTAGAGATAGGGGAAGGAAAAACAGAGATCATTAATGGTAGAATTGAAGAGTTTTACCATCTTTGGTAACCAAACTATGATTCGGCATGCTTGTATTATTCCTGCCCTTAAATTGCTGTAAAATCTGCAATTTTGCAGGAACTGATGGTTATGGTCCATGGCTTTATGATCAGTCATCTCCTAATACCACCTTGTCTTGGAACATCGTTCGTGGTATGATTAAAATTTTCACTATCTAGTTTCTTATCTATGATGACTTTGCTTGTGCTTATTTCTGCTTTTATGTTCAACAAGGAAATGGCCTAATCCAGCAAAATATTCTACAGTCCGGTAGATACCATATTGCCGTTGGAAATTTGAACTCGGAGGTGGTGGAGGTAAACTGGATTATTCTATCTGTATCTTGCCTTTTAAGTTAAAGTTCTTTGTAGTATTTGCATTAGGGAACCATAGCCCTTTGCACTTATTACACTTTGTATTAAACTCTTCCAGCTTGCCACTTCTTCTCTTTTATCCCTACTGTCATACTCAAGTCGCCCAGAAATCTCCTTCAAGAGTTAGACAGGATATAGTATCATTTTAGGGATGATTTTGCATTAGAACAGATATATACAACTCAGATACATTTCAGTTTGTTCTTTGTTCTCCAAATTCGTAGTACGTTGTTCCGCTATCATTCATGTTTGTTGTAACCATCATTGTAACCTCTACTTATTTTTGATATTATACATCATCGTGTTTGTGTGTGGATGTACACAGACATAAGGTTGTGGAACCACGTTATATGCTTGTGTTGTTTAGATTGCTTCCTGTATTGTTTTTGTGACATGTTGATCGTAGGTTGTTTGTGTCACACTTGTTTCAGTATGGGCACTGTGACTCGGGTTTTATAGGGCAAACATGATTTATCCCCAACAGGTTTTCTCTTAATGTTAGAAACAATCATAGATTCAGGTACAAGATATGGTCAACATATGAATGCAAGAACAAGGAACTCACAGAAAAAAAATCATATTCCATGTGGGTTCACTTGACCTAATGATGGGTGCATATTAGTAACTGATAATTCAATATTTTTCACTTGTATTTGTCTACTAATTTTGGTAAGAAATATATCATATAATGATGTAAATATAGCTGCTATTGACTTGGTCATTTTCAGTTAAATTAGGGGATTTCATAGTTGATGATCGATATCATCAATAGATATCGTAAGCATGTATGTATCTGAACAGGTGCAACTGAACATGAGTGCGAGGGCCTTCATTTATGATACAAGCGATGCTTACTACAAGTGTACATTTGCACAAGGTCCCTGTGTTACCTCTCTCTTATTTCTTGAAGAAAACCATGCTGTTTTGACCACTCCTCAACTGAAACAGGCAAGTAGAACCATTTTCCCTTTTGTTTTCAGATATAAGTATCCCATCAACTGTATTACCCTTTTGTCCTTCACTACCATTTAATTATTTATTACAAGAATCTCATATTAATAATGATCCCCTTGAAAGTATTATATAGTTGGATGGAAAGTTTTACTAATTTTGTGATCACAGAATCATAACTGATGTATGCTTGAAAGATGGGATCTCTTGAGCAACAATCTCAAGATGATTGAATGCAAGATGCAATGCATTCATTCAAGTGTGGTTGGTTGAATTCGGTTTTCTCGGCCATCTTAATGAATCAAAAAGTATTTTCTTTTCTAGTCCCTTTTAGTTTTTACATGAAATATGAATTTAGATATCAAAACTGTAGTCCATTATGTTATTCCTTGATTGAAATTGTGCGAGTTCCTGGTAATACATGGCTTCCTTTCTTAACAGGATTCTATGCTGCCATGAATCAATGGTTTATATTGTTTTCCACATTGTATTTGTGCCTCTTTCTTCTCTCCTCCTTCTGTAACTTTTAACTAGTTTTAGTTCTATCTTATTTTCTCTCACACTTTAGCACAAGCCAGGGGTGTTGATGGAAACAGCCGTTTTACCCTTTGGGGTAGAGGGCCTACATCACACCCCCAGACCCTACCTTCGAGTGGCATGTACTGATTTTGTTTGGTTTATATTGTATATCTGTATTTGGAAGGTTGTGATATGCTTGTTTCTTTGTTAGGGAACACACGGTGGTGAATGGCATGTGAAGTTGGCATATGGACCTCGATGGAGTACGTATTTTGGTGGCATAGGTACTAACCAACTAGTTTATCTTCTTCCCTTGAAGAGGAATTTACATGTTTATAGCTTAATTACCTGCCTTTCCTTTAACTCCTGTTTTGCTTTTAGTTGCGATTAATGGCATGATGTTGCTGGCTTCCGTTCATTTCTGGGTCAAATACGGGCATATGGTTACATCTTCAGGAGCAGCGATCTGTATGTATTATAGTGAAAATACACGAGGGTTATGGTGGGTTTGACGTAACATTATGGAGGTGAAAAATGGTCAAAATGATGTCATGGAACCCTTCTTGTAAATTCAAATATGATTATGAATAAGATTTTTCCATCCATCACATATAGTGTATCCGTCCCATGATCATCATGTAAAAGATAAATCACTGTCTTGAAAGACAGGGTGGACTGGATTTGAACCCGATAGCTTGTTGTGGAAAACTCCACCCCCTTTCTGTTAGGATCGTCCAAAAGTAAAAATGTCGAGGCCACCATTAGCAAATAGATCCTAGTAAGCAATTACAAATCATTAGGTAAAAGCTACTTAATGTTTGAGATCTCATATCTTAGACACCAACATAAAGGATTTTGTAACACCCTAGTTTCTTTGTTAGATAAATCTCAGCCTTAAATGCAAATATTTATGAATAATTTAAGTATTCCAGCAGCTGTTACAATTAGTGAAACATCTTAATTATAAGACTAAACAAGCTAGTGATGAGTTGTTAAGGCTAGAAGTGTGTTGGCAAGTCTAATGAGCATGACTAAGCAAGCTAGTGATGAGTTGTTAAGGCTAGAAGTGTGTTGGCAAGTCTAGTAAGTATGAATAAACAAGCTAATGATGAGTTGTTTAGGCTAGAAAGATATGAGTTGACAAGACTATTGATTACAAGACAAGTCTAGGAAGCATGACAAAGAGTACTAGAAACATGAGTTGTATAGATTCTTTTATCCTTAGAGATGAGTTGTCAAGATTCTCTTATCTTTATCAATGAAGTGTCAAACTCTTATAAGAGTGTACAATCTTGAGAGCAAAAAAAAACAAATAGTTATTGCAATGAATTTATCTATAAATAAGGATTTAAGGGTCACTATTTATGCATACCAAAAATAAAAAATCTCTCTATATTTACCTAATTAAGCTTGAAGAAAGGAATCAAAGAAAAAAGTAGGCAAATCAAGGTGAGTACTTATGTGATTTATGGGATACATGTATGCTATATATAAAAGTATTTTATGCATTACAAGTTATGTTAGCATGTTTGTTTTACATGAAAATATTGATATACATACATATTCAAAGTATGCATGATGACATGTTTTAAAACAAGTATACATACAAGACATGAAAATCAATTACATGTTATCATAGGTGTTACACAAGGCATGAAATTTTTTACATGTTATGTATAACCATAATATCCAACATACAAGATATTACAAGAAGGAACGTCTTGCAAACGGACCTTATAGGGAAGCCTTTTATGGACCCGGGGGTTAACAAACCTCAAGACAAGTATGGTATACATGCATGTGACAAGTGAGATCTCAAAAGAATGTTTTATGCATGATAAAAAATAGTATTTTATGAATGTTTATGTATGATAATAAAGAATATTTTATAAATGATCAAGAGCTTTAATGAATTATCATTCATAAAATATCATGAAAATTTTTCATTCATGAAACCATAAATACTCACTAAGCTTATAACTTATATATCTCATGTATTTATCTCAGGAAAGAAGTAAGGAGGATTTGCATAAAGTAATATGGTTTTAGTTGAAAAGCAAGTTTTGTTGTAATACAAACTATGGTTATGTTTCCCTTAAGTAGTTTATTCTTTGATGTAATTTCAATATATGTACTAAAAAGAAGCTAAATTTCAAGTTCAGATTTAAGATTTAATTGTTTTATCATGTAAAGCAACGACACAGAATATATAAGGACGTGGGGCGTTACAACTTTGAAAGCACATTACTTAAAATATGAACTAGACACTACAAAACTAAGAGGCTTCACCGATAGAAAATTTTGTTGGTAATCCGCTGGAAAAAGCCATCACCGACGGATCTCATGCCGAAGAAAATGTGGCAGATTGCGATTACTTGCAGATTTTCAATCACCCATAGAATAATCCGTTGGTAATCCGTCCATCGGCAATTACGGGCATAAAAATTTGTCGATAAAACCTCTTTGTTTTTTAGTGAGAACAAAATACATTCAATTTCTGTAACACTTGGCCAACTTTATTTTGAAATATATGATATTTATATATAATAAATATTCATACACACTGAAATTTGAACCGTTGATCCAGGTGTCGTTACTCCAATGACCCATGTATGAAGTTGGTATGGTCAACCACAAGGGTGGTGTCTGATTGGTTTGAGATTGGCTCCAAAGATCATTAGTACCTACAGGTCCCATGATCAAATCCAAGGAGGAATAAAAATCCCTTTGTGGCTACGAAGGTTCAAATACGGTGACTCAAGGCTATCTGCAAAGCAGGTGATCGTAATGAGATTAGTCGGCTCGTATAACGGATTGGATATCCAGGTTAATAAAAAAAAAAGTTGGTATGGTCATATTTTTCAAAAATGTTCATTTGAGCACTCGCTTCACATAAACATGAATATGATGGATGCAACAATTTTATTTGCAGGTTAATACATGAGGTAGATGCAAATTTTGTTTATGGGATTGTTTTATAACTTTTACAAATATACGACAAATGGATTCATATGTGAACCCGTATGATACACATATTTATTTGTTCATATGTGAACATGTTAATCAGTTTACATGTGAACCATTTAACTGTTTCATATATGAACCATGAATCAGTTAACTAGTTCATATTTGAATTATACGGGTTCATATGTGAATCACTTAAAATAGTTCATATGTGAATTACACAAGTTCACATATGAACCGTTTGCCATCTATTTGTAAAAACTACGAAATTATTCTCTCTATTTTTCGTATAGCCATAATTATTGACCGGTCAAAGCTGCAATTATTGACCAGTCAAATTCGATCTTGACCATATGAAGGGCTAGGATCACTTATTTACTTCTCAAATATTTACCACTTCTCAAAATAAACTTTGGGTATATATATATATATTGATAGACTTTGGATCATGTGAGACTAGACTGTTTTCGTGAGATCCATAAGACCATTATTTTTACACTTGAAATTTCACAACATTTTGTTGTGAAGTTTCAAGTGTAAAAATGTAGTCTTACAAAAACATGTTAACCTCACATGAACTCAACCCTATGTTGATATATTAATTGATGATTGTAATTCCCGTTTAGCAATGATAGGCAGCAAAAATCTATACTATCTTATAAAGCATTTGGCTAAAACTTTTAAAAACTCTTAAAAACTCTTAAACTCGTTCATCCCTAAACGATTTCATCCC